TACTGGGAGTCTGTGCGATTAGGTCCATAGCAGAGGGTCTTGAGGGTATAGGTTTGCTCTTAGTCTATTGTGGAAGGATTTTCTTTAACGTTATAGCTAGAGCTACATGCAATGTTATTGTACCTTAAGTGTCACAAACATGGCTTAGAATGAAAAAGGTTTTCACATGACACATGGTTATGAGTCACAAGTATGTTATTGTTTTACGCATATGACCTAGTCGGGTTATATGATTTGTTATGTGTGGGATTTGTGATGCTTTCGCACATGGCTCAAGTATGAGTCATGAGATATGCGCTTGACGAGTATGCCTTACGAGTGTGCCTTACGGGTAAGCCTTACGCATATGATTTATGTTTCACACATGACCTCATTATGAGGTCATGGATTTCGTGTATATGACTCAGTCGAGTCATATGACTTGTTTATTGCATTATGATTGGTTTATGAGTTTTGCACATGACCTCGCTATGAGGTCATGGGTTTTGAGCATGTGATCACTTTGGTCATATGACTAGTTGTTATGATTTGGTTTCGCACATGTGACCACTTTAGGTCACATGACTAAAGGTGGGAAGAACACTATATAAGGAGGCCGATGCGGCCGAGGAAGATAGGTTCTTCATGCTTTGTTCTAAGTACTTTTCCTACTTATTACTTTAAACAAATATAAAACACCTTTACGATCTTTATCTTTACTATGACGTTATTGTTACTCCAAGGAAGGTTCTTCACGAATACCAGTTAGAGAAAGCTTACGATAGGCATTCCCGGTACAAGACAGAGGTCTTGTACTATCGGTAATGTAGGCAGAGGCCTAGAGCTATCGCAAGATAAGGAAAGAAAGAGACAGAAACGAGAAGTATCGTTTCCCGTCGCCAAGAACTAACTATCCAGAGAGGAATCGTTACATTAAGCAAGAAATTAAATAATTCCAAAAAGAAAATAGAAAGAGAAAAAAAAGGACCTCCAGTACCGACTCCTGACAAAACTACATAAGTTCTTTCCAATACTATAAGTTGAATTAATACTCTATACACATCTTCGACAACGCTATTTGAGAAAGAGGTTTTGGTTAGATAAAGTAAGATGATTACAAGACTATCATTGTTATCAGCAGTGACAGCAAAGATAAGAGTGCACTGAGTTATTAAAATATTGAGAAAATGGAAGAGGTAAGATTATCACCTGTTGGAGAATTAAGAAAGCAGGAGTAGGATTATTACCTCCTAGTCAACAACCTGAAGCCTTTATCAATTACCAACTGATATAAAAATAAATTCTTTATTATTCAAGGAGGAAACCTATGACTTGCTAGAAGAAAGTAAAGATAATTACTGACATGAAATCAGTTAATACAAAAGTATTATTACCAATATCTACTATTTTAACTATCTACCCTCTATATTGTCAGTCATTTTATTATATTTTATATCATTTATAATATTGTGAGTAGATAAAATTAACCACGATTCAACCAAGGAAAATCATCGGTGATGACAACCACACTTACCCACCAATCCACTATCGTAGAAACCAAAAAAAAAAATTTAAAAGATGTAAATACATAATAGAAATTAATATTTCTTATACTATTCATCAGCCTTAATAATTGCCTCTATTCTATCCACCATTAATCCAGCTAAAGTATCAAAAACCTTTAGGTCAAGAAGTGTTCAACAATGAGTAATGGCCTCTACTATTGCCTTCTTGACCACGTTGATATTACCGTTCATAAGATATAGCTCAAGGTAGTGCTTGTGAAGCCTATCTTTTACCAGAGACCTAATATTTTCAATTGAATTGAGATCTAGTGAATAGGCAGGAATTTCCATCAGTGTAATTCTCTGCCCTTGGAGCCATTTCCTGAAAGGCAAGTGAGTCTTAGCATTGTCAATGATAAAAAATACCTCTTCTTCTCCAGCCTTTTCTCTGATATTCTCCCATATTCCTAGAACGTAATAATGATCATAAACATCAATAATTGACCTCCCTCTAACTCTACCCCTAGCATTAGAAGGATCAGGAAAAACTGGCAAAAAAAGACCATGAGTTTGACTATAAAAACAACTAGTCATTATCTGGCTAATCCCTCTCTCCCCTGTCCTAGCATTAGGTTCAACACAATCTTTTTTTCATTTCTCATATGGGTATCTGAAAACCCATTTTCTCCTCTTTTTTCCTCCTCTTTTCACAGCTACCTCATCACCCCATGTTGCCTTCCTTCTCCACATCTCCTTTGTCCAATGCCTCTAAGCTAATGCCTATTTCAACCTCTCTTGAGCTAGATCCTCATCCAAATCAACTCTCTCTTGTGCTCTCTACTTTCTAAAATGCTTTTTTTCAGATTTTCTCCGTACTGTCCTACTAGAAATATTGGGAGCAACTTGCTCAACAATGTCAGAATAGGTACAGTGCCTTGTGAGAAGTGTTCATAATAATCTTACTAAGCAACCTCACCATAATGCCAACTTGCCAAATGCCACCTCGCCAAATACTAGCTCGCTGATCGCGCAACCATATGATACGTACCCCATATAATATTTACACCATGCTACCATAATCCTCTATTCAAACAATTCTTTAATTTTCATTTCCTCTGAATTTCCAATGATTAACCAATCCAGATATAAATCAAAGCTAAAACAGCAAAACCCAGAGACCACTTGAACTGAAATGACTAATGTGAAAAAAAGGCATGATCATTAGATTTTTCTACTGCCTCTGGAATATCGCTCTAGTTGCTCAAATTATTGGCCAGTCATGGTCAACTATTAAAAGCTTCCTCACTTGCACATGTGAGAGTCTGTCCTTGGAAAATATTCCTTGTCCTGGTTGCACACCTGTTCTCAGCCAGTAACAAAATTGGACCATCCTCCGAGCTGCCAAATCCAACCGGAAAATGACCAGATCAGATTTTATGGATAAATATGTATGAGGTATTTCTCTTTATACTGTTTAGTACCCATCTGAGCCTGAGTGCTTGAATATAATTCTCTAATAAATATATGCTTCTTGGAGTACTCAGAGATGCCAATATTAAGAAATGGCTAGCCAAGTCAAGACCCAAGCTCAAAGCTGTCCATATAGCTAAGAGACTAAGATGGACAACAGCTTACAGGAATTGGATAGCTGAGGATTTTGAAAGAGTCATCTGTAGTGATGAATGCAGTGTGGAGAAATACAGGAATCCTAGGCAGTAGTAGGTTTTCAGAGAACCTGGAGAGCAGTGGCTTGCAGACTGTATTCACCTAAAGAAAATGGATAAGGGTATTTCGCTTATGGTATGGGGGTGCTTTTGGGGTAAGAGAAAAGATCCTTTGGTTACTATTATCCAAAATATCAACAAGACCAGGTATGTTGGACTCTTAAGATAACATCTTTTTCCTGTAATTCATCAAATAATTTCCTTTGGTATGCAACTTGAAGATATTCTTTTTCAGCAAGACAATGCTCCTGTTCACAAGGCTTGTAGTATTATGGAATGGTTTAAAAGGAATTCTATTAAATTAGTAGAACACCCCCCATACTCCCCTGATTTAAATCCTATTAAACATGTATGAGCTGAGCTTAAAAAGTGATTACACCAGCAGTATCCAAGGATTGGAGATACCCCGGGAGGAAAAAAATCTGTTAAGAAGAGGCTTGCACAAGTATTATCTTTAGTTTGAGAGACAATTCCGGAGTAGTTTTTGAAAAGTTGTGGAAATCAATGCCTGGTAGAGTGGCTGCAGTATTGGAAGCAAGAGGAGGTTATACAAACTATTAGTTAGCCATATTTATGATTATTTTACTCTAAAATATACATAGCAGATAATTGATTATTAATGGTTGATCGTTGAGATGTAGTAATTGAGGATTGATCATACACTCATGAGAGCGCTGTTGACAACCCCACCCCACTATCTCATGGTGCAGCCACAATTAAACATGTCTCAGATCACAAACTCTTCTGACAAGGCACTGTAATATGGCAATTTTTAAAAGCTTCCTCCACCATAGTATCATCCTGTCATTTGGTAGTTTTAGGATGTCTTCCTCTACCCTTATTCTCCTTGTCCTCTTAATGTCCCTTTGCAATTGTTTCTCTGACAGTAGTGTAAGGGATATTAAGGTAGTAGGAAATTTGCTGATATCTCATCTGAGGCTCGTATAACCTGAGAATCCTCTTCCTGATAAACTCTGAGAGATATGTGGAGGGAATAGGTTTTTTAACATGACTGCCAAGAATAGGAGGTAGAGTTTATTGAAAAAAAGAATTGAGTAGAATGGTTTCTTCTTGGTTGACTTAGAGCAATTTTTATAGGTACCATTGAGAGTACAGGGTGATGAAGAGGGGTGGGTTGCTACTGATTGTTGAATCTCAGTTAATTTTGTCAATACATAATATATTCTTTATTTTGTTTCATTTTACCCTATACCCTTTCTTGCATATCACAAAATAGCCAATTATAAAAAAAACATGGTATTTGTATCATGCCAAACACCCTGCCAATTCATTTTAAAAAATACCATGAAACAAATTCCATAAAAATGGAAATACCATGGTATTTTTGGCGTGCCGAACAGGGCCTAAATTAGTATAATTGACAATCATTAAAAGCTGTACATATATTCCAATCTTATCAAACTGGTATAATAGCGACAAACACTAATTTTCTCATCACTATTGAGTATTCTGTTCACTGGACCTTATTCAGACTGTTGATTATTCTTCTCATCTTGCACATACTACTCGAGTCTTGGGAATGCCACATTCTTGAGCAGTTACAACCATGTTTGGCCTGTCACTTTCTATTAACATCTGGCGAGCAAGCTGGATCTGACCCTCAATCTCAACATAACATTCAGTCATTGTAGCCATGTTGCAGTTGAAAAACAAATCTGGCATTGAGCTTAATGTGGGATCGAGTTGTTGGGCACGTCATAGATGTGCTGTGAAATTGTGAACCGCTCGAGTCACACAATTTCGGCAGGAACTTTGGCACGGTTATCAAGTTGGAGTCGGGTCACGTTTCATTTCTACACCACCACTGGTGGAATACCAATACCCTACAAAAAGCAACCCCCCCCCCCCAAGCCAACATACTAGCATCTTAAGCGGGAAGAGATCCGCAATACTTTTTCGCAAGAGAGGTTATAGTATTTTCGCACCTATCACATATTTCATCTGGGTTCTCAGAAGTGTAGACCCAACAACGAGGGCATTTATTCCCCAAGGCGCGCTGGACTACGACTGTGCAGTCGTCACCTAGGAGGTTTGTCCTTTCTGCGTGCTTCCACGTTGGGCTTGTTGGAATTGCCTCCCCGAGCGAGACGGCCGAAACGATGAATATATGGGGGAGCTCGTTGGCTGCGCTCTGTTAGCTATGATTTCGCGAACGGACTGCCAGGTATGATATGCTCGCCATATTTCTCCAGAAGCTTCCTCGCCTTCGACCCCTCTGAAGTAACCAATACTGCCGAGGCCTCTAAGTTGACCTTAACACCTCTGTTTGATTCGCCGCTTAGTGTCCGACCAAGCGCAGAGGTTCTATGGACTTACTGCTCGACCCTAGCCTTTTCAATACCTCGTTTAACTAAGGAGTGAATCGCATTGATGTGCTTGAACTCTTCAATCAAGTTCTCGTCGTTCCATGTCTCGACTGGTTTATACCATCCCAATTGCGCTGGGCCGGTGGCGCCCTTTGTCACAAACGATGTAGCGTGTGACCAGACTTCTTGGGTCAGTAATGGGACAATGGGTGTAAGTATGGAAAGGTAGTTTCGGAGAATCTGATCAGCAGCATTAGCCATTTCCTATAAGGTTAGGATAGGTTAATGATTATTGAATGCTTACATGGTATATGACGGTCTGTATTCCACGGCGTCTTTGAGAGTCCTTTGGATCAGAATACATAGAATCCTTTGTGACATCTAGGTAGAATGCGGAGAGATCCGTGTTGGTATATGACATGATTATTTGAATGACTATTCCAGCGTCAGCTTAGGAACAGCAACAAATACGCATTTTAAAAACCTCTATTGAAGTGCATGTTCTTGTACGTCTCTGCAATGGCTCTATTAACCTGATACAACTGTGCTAGCGCGTATTTATCTGTCTGGAGGCCCCATCAGCCCACGTTTGATATATTACTAATCGGAATGCGCATGCCCAGATACCTTCGTCAAATCAAAGTAATCCACCTCCTTCCCATCCCAATCTTCCAAATTTCCCAACAGAAACCTCAAGGTAACCCTTAACTTTCTCAAGTTTTCGTTTACGCCGTCAAGGATTGTGCTTCCAATACTTACATCCTTAGTATAATCACAGCTGGCCACCCATAACCTCAGAGCATCTATACCACCGATGCTCTTACCCTTCGGCTGGATGACGTCCACAGGAGCCATAGTGTTGCCTAGAGACTTTGACATCTTCTTCCCCTTTTCATCCAAACAGAAGCCATGTGTGACAACCATTGCAAAAGGTGTTTTAGCAGCACTGAGACCTGTAGTGGTAGCTACCGAAGTGAGTAACGATGACTGAAACCAGCCGCGGTGCTGGTCAGACCCCTCGAGGTAAAGATCAGCCAAAGGCTTGCCCTCCCGCTGTCCGATGCGACTTCTAAGTATAGCCCAACTTGTGCCGCTATCGAACCAGACGTCCATGGTTTCCTTGCCTCGAGCGTATCTCTTTCCTGTCATTCTGATTGGTTCTGGTACCCATGCTTCTTCCGGAACTCCACTCCCCCACCAAGCATCAGTGCCCTTCTCTTCTAATATGCCAATGATATGTTCAACGCTTTCCCCAGTCAGTAATGGTTCATTGGTATCGATATCATAGAGCACGGGAATAGGGACTCCCCAGGCCCTTTGACGGGAAATACACCATTCCGAACGGCTGTTGACATAAGATGTCAACCTCGATCTACCAGAAGACGGAACAAACACGACATTTTTAAGTGAGTCGACACAAACATCTTTAATAACATCAACGTCCGCAAACCACTGTGCTGTTGCCCGGACGATTACAGGACGCTTTGTCCGCCAATCGTAAGGATATTTATGCGTGAACCGTGGCTGTAGTGCCAGAAGAGCTTTCGATTCCATGAGAATCTGCAAGATCTTTTTGGTGCCACCAAAAAGAACTTCCATCCCCTCAAGACCATATCCAGGCAGTGCATCTTCAGTAAACCGTCCATCATTATCCACAGGTGAAAACGGCTCTATATCATGCTTCCGACAAAGGAGATAGTCGTCCATTCCGTGACCAGGAGCGCAGTGAACAAGTCCAGTACCGGAATCAGCCGTGACAAAGTCCCCAGGCAGTATTGGCTGGAGTTGAGCATCCTCTCGAAGCAGGGGATGTAAATATTGCGCCCCAACAAGATTCTGGCCTAGAATACCGTCTATTATAACCTTTGGTTGCTCGTTTATGCCTTTTCCAAGCTCTCCAACTCGCCCAGATGCAACGAGTAACTTCCCGTGGTTCTCAGTATCCACAACACAGTATTCTATTTCCGCGTTGATAGCGATAGCCTTATTTGCAGGGATAGTCCAAGGTGTAGTTGTCCAGACAGCAGCCCGTACGGAAATCCCGTCAAGCCGTGTTCCAAGCCCCGGCGATGCAGTGGGCCGTATGGGAAACGCCACAAAAGCGGCCCTGCTAACATGCTTCTCGTTGTATTCCAGTTCCGCTTCAGCGAGTGCAGTTCCCGAACTGGGACTCCAAAAGACGGGCTTAAAGCGTCTATATAGTAAGCCCCTCTTGAGCATCTCTTTGAACACTCGCAGCTGTGATATTTCGTAGTCCTTATCCATAGTTCTCCAATGATTATCCCAATCACCCATCACTCCCCATGATCGAAATTCAGCCATTTGTTCGGTGATAGTCTTCTCTGCGAGTTCCCGTGCTAGAGACCTAATCTCAGCTGCATCCATGGCTTTCCCCTTCTCGGCGGCAGCAGCCGACGCAGCAGCAGTTTGGGCAGCCTTGGCTTTGCCCTCACTCCCTGCTACTAGGGATTCTGTGTGGGATTGTAAAGCCTTGAGCTCTATTGGGAGTCCATGACAATCCCAACCGGGGATGTAAGATAGATGACGGCCGGAAAGAACTTGGAAACGCCCAACAATGTCTTTGAGAATCTTATTGAGTGCATGCCCTATATTTCCCTACCCTGTCAGCAAATGTCATACCGGTAGTCCTAATTGAAAGAGACGCAAGACCCAAGTGCAAAGTGCCATTCGCATATGGGGGTCCATCATGCAGGACAAACAAATTCTGCTTCGGTAAATTGGCTCTCTGGACAATAGAAACCAGATTTGTCAACAAATGGACTTTAGTCTCGGTTCCCTAATGCCAGAACTTCATATCATACCTGCCACTCGTATAGCTCATCTGAGCACTTCCTCAACAGCTCCTCCTTTGAAGAACTCTTGTTCGGCCAAATTGGCATTGTTGCCTTCGGCAGTAGTAACGTGCGCCGAAGTGCATCCCCTGTCAAAGAACCGGTCCGTAGATTCCCCATGACAATTATACCATACCGGTACTTGATCGGACTGATGGGGTCGGCGGATAGCGGGGGGAAGCGAAATGTAGCAGAAGCGGTAAATTTTTTTTCTTTTAGACCGGTTTCCGAGCCAAAGGTGTGTGATCTGATAAACTCGTTCTCAACCCCATTCGAGTACTACAAGCCCCCCCCCCTGTTTTTAATGGCTGGTTACCCTCCTCTTTGCTTCGCTCATAGTCGGGAAAACAAAGTGTGAGATACTCGTACCAAGGTTGTGGCTCAATGCAAATTTGTTGCTCACTGCAACTTTGTGCCACAACAGATTTGTAGTGAAACACAAGTTTGTGGCACAGCATTATTCGGTTCAATTTAATATGATAATATTTAAGTTCACTATCACATTTATAATTATGATAGTATTCAAATTCAATATATCATTATTGTTTAATATATTGGAAAAGGTCTCGATGTTACATGAGTTATGTGAATTATTCCTCCAATGCTATAGTACCCTCTGATGCCACAGAAAATTGATTATGTAAGTTTTTTTATATGTAATATTATACACTTCTATAATTGTTATAATGCTTTTACAAAATTTATAAAATAAAACATAAAAATCTGAAGCAAATATAATGGAAAATAAGAGATATTGAAAAAACAGCAACAAGAAAAAAGTGTAAACAAAATCCTGTCCATTCAATTATATTAATTGTATATAGTGTTGAGCACCTAATTACAAGAAGGCCATACTACTAGACAAGAAACAAGCACACCTGAGTTTTTAAAGTCCATGAGTAGTAACATCACAGGTAGTTAATTGCAAATTACTAGTGTATTCTTCTAGATAAATCAGTATTCTTAAAGCAAAATACTAAACATATAGCAGGATAAGATTGGATATATTATAAGTAACTCTACTACTTGGTTATAACTTTACATCTAATTATTAATAACTGTTTACTGTTTTAAACATTATAGTATTAATTCATCATGATTTCATACTTGGAATTTGCTTTCTTTCTTTGACAATTCTTGTCAGCTTTGGAAAAAACTATAATAGTAATAAAAACTTCTTATATAGAAAAAAACTTACATAATGAATTTTCTGTGGCATCTGAGAGTACTGTAGCATGTAAGGAATATTTTACATAAACTGTATGGCATTTGAGATCTTTACTGTTAATTTATTCTTGTAGATTTATCTATTCTTGGACCTATCATATTTATATATGATAAGCTTCCTAGCCAATTCACTCATGCCACCAGTATGATACTACAAATTATTCTTCAAATCTACAGTATGGAATTGTATGTAAATATCATGCACCATATATAGATAGTAATTAAATTCCATTCCTTCTTGCCTACAAACAATATGAATATTACTGTAATAGCATCATAGTTGCACTTTGATCTTAGGTACACTTGATTTAGAAATTGTTGGTAAGGGTATTAATCTGATCAAGAATAGTCTGTAGAAAATGAAGTTGAATATAAGCCTTTTCTGAGTAAGATTAAGACTAATATTAAAGGAAGACCAAGAATACAAACCTATAAAATGAGGGCTTATTGCTAGTATTAAACAACAAGTAAGGCTGAATAAAGTCAAAAAAATTAAAAAAAAATTTGTACTATATTCTTCAAATATTATATTCTTAAACAGAAGTCTCATATTGCACTATAAAATAGTACTATACCGTGTCACAAAGTTATGCTTTACTACAAACCTGTTATAGTAGCTAGTTACAACCTTAGCACTAGTAAAAGCACATATGATGTATTAGCTTTGTTTTTGTTTTTTTAAGCTAAGCATATATAATATTAGCCATTCACCAGATATTACTAGTTTTGTATAAGTTATAATATTGTTCTAATGGAATTTTACAAAGTCACTATTTCTTACAATGGAGTCAGAGAATGTACATAAAAATAGAAAAGTAGAATCAGATTCACTTTTCAGGTCTTCACAATTATCTTCGACTAGTACTTGACTTTACTATATTTTATTGTTACCTTTTTGAATATAGCTAAGCCAAGTTGTAATTTCCAACTCACGACTTCGTCTAGTACTCATTGTATTTGATTCAAGTTTTAGTAGAGATTGTCATGAATCTAGAAGTGGTTGAAGACCTTTAAAGTCCTCTGGACTTAGATTTCTTACTAGATCATTAATAGGAATCATTAGTTCTAGTCATAGAATCTCAACTAAAATCTGAATATTTTAAACCTGCTACTGACTTTTCTTTTCTATCTCATATTTTAAGTATTATTTTTATAAATCAGGATTGTAACAAGGGGAGGAATAAGGTTTTCACATAACTCATATGTAACGTGTTTGCAAGGTGCTGATCACATTATCGGTAATAGATACAATAGTTGGCAGGTGGCATGCTCTTCCAGAGAGGAGGCGAGAGCTGAGAACTAAAGAAGGCTTTGATAGTGTACTGAGGTACAAAGAAGTAACCGTTCAACCAAGTATATTAAAATACTGTCTATCGAAGTCTGCCTTTTCTATCATAGAAACAGGCGATCTTTAAATATACAAATCTGTTAATGTCAGGCATGAACGAAACTAATCAAAGATATCAATTGATACACTTTGGTAAAACTAATAAAGTATCAAAGCGATACTTAAAACAAAACATAAAACAAAACTAAGTATCAAACGATACTTAAAACAAATCAAGTATCAAAGCAATACTTAAAACATAACACAAAACAAAACTAAGTATCAAATAATACTTAAAACAAATCAAGTATCAAAGCGATACTTAAAACATAACACAAAACAAAACTAAGTATCAAATGATACTTAAAACATAACATAAAGCAAAACTAAGAACTGAGTACCTGTACCGGTTACATCATAACTGTAGGTCTGGTTGGTGTAAGCTAACTCTAATAGGTATTGAGAAGACTTAGGCCAGAATTTTTAGTATAGACGGAGATTGTCTAGGAAGGTATAGTAATATTTTTTATGTTTATAACTATGCAGAACTTGCTTAAGAAAACAGTAAAAATATCATAATCAAGATTCCTGGATAGAACAATATTATATTATTAATATCTTATCTCTGTTGCTTGATGATGTCTGTAAAGCTTGAGAGGTAATTTAATATTTATTTCTGGAGTCTGTTTATTCGCTGACTGGTTCTAACTACTATTTAATTAAGTACCTCTTCTTAGGCTGTACACCATTGTCCTTGGTCTTAATAAGTACAAATACTGTTTGACTCAGAATTTTTTTATACTACTTTGTACTCTTACGAATGAAATCTTTTTCATTGGAGGGTATGCCTTTATCTTCCAAGTAAGGTCTTTGATTTATATAGTTGAATAGATATCATCTTGAAACTTCCAATCTAATTGACTATCACTTCCGCAGGTTTTTCTGAATTCACATGATGGACAACTTATTTGTTAAGAATATAATATACACAATGCAGCCTTAATAGACATTATGCTAATATGTTATAACTACTGCCTATTAAGTCTCTTGAGACTGAGTGGCCTTCTCTCTATCTACCTTGCCTCTAGGAGGATGACCTTTAGAGGAAACCAATTTCAAGGACTAACCAATGTACAGTGGACTTCAAATAGGTATTGGTGTCTGAACTATCAACTATGGCCTCTGGAGCACTGTAGGAGTAGCTGAAGATTATGGTGATAAAAAGATCCTGTTACTTTCAGCCCATAATTAGAATTCTAAAACTGCTAAGTATATGTGAGATTGACAATGAGGCCAGAGAGAGGTATTAACAACTCAGATAAATGAGGGTCTGTATACAGTTAAACTACTGAGGAGTCTGTAAACTCTCATATGCCTAATGAGATCATAGTTATTTACTGTTTGATGTGTTGTGATGACTCACAGTTGTAAGTCATATGATATAATGACTTTTGCTTATAACTTACAAGTATGAGTCAGAAGCTTGATGCATATAATGTATATCGTACACATAACCTTTTATGAAATTCATGATAGGCTTAAGTATGTTGCACAGTTGACTCATAGAAGTTAGCTGATGGATCTTAGATGACTCATTCTTGTGAGTTGTAGGATAGAGAGATGTAAAGGTATGAGTCAGATCAGGGTTAGGAGAGGGTAAATTGTCTATATAAGGCAGGTCTGGGAATCTCATGAATAGACATGCTTTGCTGCTCATATTTTTCTCCTACATAGTTTGACAACACTACAGTTAACTATTATGGGCCATCCACTCTCTCCTCTGCCCCCTCAATGGTTTCTGCCTTGGGGTAAGGTTTTCTGTTCTCTATCTTCTTCTACCCTTGCCTCACCTGCCTCTTGTATACTTGATAGGAGAGTTATCTGGGCCTCAGCTAGTAGTTCTGTCTTGCTTGAGGGGCTCACTTAGCTTAGGTATGGTTAGCGTAATCCTTCGATTCTAGTCTACGTAGGTAGTGGTAGACAACTTGCTCCTTACTTGCATGCTCTGTATTGGAAAATACCTTAGCTAGTAACTTTAGGGTCTATCTTGTCGTGAGATTTGACCTTACTCTTCAAGTCGCTTGGTTCAAGTTACAGTCACCCTCCTCCCCTTTGCCTTCCTCTTCCTTACTACTAGTAGAATCTCTTCCAAGAAGTAACGCCATTTCTCAGAGAACAAGGGAGGATGGAAAAACATGATAATACATACATGGTTTAGTTTTTACAGTCGGCCTTGCTGTATAGCCTCTGGTACACCCTCTACCTACTTACCTCACTTACACTGACTTCCACCCTGCTGTTCTTCCTCGTTTTAGCTGGTACTATATGCCACCTCGCTTTTCCATGTGCTGTGCTGGAGCTTTAGCCTACTGCCTGTCAGTCGTTGCTCTTTAGCAGGTACCTTACTGCTGAACAACATCACTTCAGGCAGACTTCTACTCCTCGAGCCTTACCTAGATGCCCTCTTGTTCTTGGCTGGTAGGTCAAGGTATTGCACTACCTCTGTAGCTTATCTGATTGGAAGAGGTCAGCTGGCTAGCATTTTGCCATGCGTCCACTTCAAGGCCAGTTTTATATTTAGCAGTTTGGCTTTTCAGTTGGCAGTAGTTACTTTTCCTTGTAATTTTTGTATTTTACAGATAGAGTTTTTCCTTATACTTTCCTGCCTAGAG